GATGGACAGGTTCAGAGTAAGCTATACTCACCTGGTATGTGTACTTTGATGGACAGGTTCAGAGTAAGCTATACTAACCTGGTATGTGTACTTTGCTGGACAGATTCAGAGTAAGCTATACTAACCTGGTATGTGTACTTTGCTGGACAGATTCAGAGTAGTGGGCTTCTCTGGCTTCTTGGACTCCCCTGTGCTCCGGAAGGAGAACTTTTTGCGCAAACTTTTTATCTTCACAGACTTGCCCAGTCGGGGAGATTGTTGGGTCCCCCCGGAGGAGAACTCACTGACCGGGATGCAAAACACTTCCTGAGGAGTATCGGGGGGTGTCCCACCCCCCATTCTCTCTGGGCTGGGGTCCCTCTCCTCCTTCTCATCAGACTCCTTTCTGGAAAACAGACTAAGGAAGGTCTTGAAGAAAGACCTCTTTCCCTTCTTGTTACTTTTCTTTGGTTTCTTTTTTGGTTCTGCACGGTCTTCTGGGTCTGCTTGGTCTTCTAGGTCCACATGATCTCCAGTATGTCCATGGACTGACTGTGCCTGGACATCTGGATCTACACAGACTCCAGGCTCCACGTAGCCTTCAGGCCCAGCGTAGTCTTCTGACTGCAGAAGAGCAGTAGGTGGTTCTAGAGGGGTCACCTGGAAGGTTCTGGTATCAAGCACCTCCCATGGGCTGAGGTGAGCAGAGCTGTCGCTGGAGTGCCTCCGGACCCGTTGGCTCTTCTTGGCCCTGGTCACCCACTTCCGGGGCTTCAGCCGCTGTCTGTTTTCTGCCTCTGAACCATCATTGAGGCTCAGGCTACGTCTCACGTAGACTTCCAGCAACCGCTGGGTGTCTTTCCTGCCCAAGGACAGCAGTTGGGGTTTGTCGACGGACTGCATCGTGTAGAACCTGGTGGTCATCAAATACAGAGGAAACTTAATTATAGTGGTAGAAACCCGGATTTTATTGTTTATTTAGCAGAAGCTTTTATCCAAAGTGAGATACATTTAAGAAAGCAGAGTCAGCCATATGGCCTTGTTCAGGGGCCCAGCTAACCATGGGATTGGAACCAATGACTTTCCGATCACAAGTATAGCACCCTAGCTGAATGAGCCACAGACTGACCTCAAGTGATGTTTCCGCCCAACTATTAGCTGGGGATGTTTTACATGTGAGAATTACATGATAGGCACCACACTACAGAAATGCAGTAAGGGATAATATGTTACACTGAACATGCTATGAACTGACAAGCTAATGTCTGAAACTACACACCCATCAACCACAAGGAAAAAGCCAAGTTTTATTAGTTGAATTTGAAAATCAGTGTTGACACACCACAGCACACAGTGCACAACAACAAAATGTGTCCTCTGCATTTAACCCATATGTGACATTGTGACATAGCGAGGGGCAGCTAATTCAGCGCCCGGGGAGCAGTGCTTGGGGGCGGTACCTTGCTCAGGGTACTTCAGCGGTACCTTACTGGTCAAGGATTCGAACCAGCAACCTTTCAATTACAAGCACACACCCCTAACTATTAGCCACCACTGCCAATTACACCATATTATACTAGCTATTCCACACTTCAGCACTTTAACAGTTATTGTGGGAACATCTTTCATTCCCGGATCTCAGATGGGTGACCTTTCACCACAAGCTCAAGTGATTAATAACATCCGAGTAAATTCATGCTTGTGTCGTTGAAGTGCTCTTCCTGGTTATGTTCATAAAAAATGCATTTTGACGTTTGTTTATTTTTTCATGCACTGTGTAAAAATATATGGTAACACTTCACTTGCAGTAGAAATAATGTAGTAGTACACTCTTACTAATGTATTAATTAACAAGGAACTAAGTGATAGTTATGTACTGGTCGATTGTTTGCTCATCCTTAATCAGTCTTAATGGTCCGTGTACAATGTTGGGGAAGTTACTCACAGAAGTAATCCATTAAAGACAGAGGTGGAAAGTTCAGGTCCAGAAAGTACAAATCCAGACCAAGGTTTTGTTTCAACCAACCAGGCCAGTATAAAGAGCCACAGTCACAGTATACTCAACTGGGTGGTTGAAACAAAACTTTGGTTTTTGCGAGTAACTTCCCCAACTGTCCATGTATTCCACGCAGTTACTATATCAGTTCATGATTTGCACTTGATTAGTAATTGAGTTGCTAAGTTACTTGTGTCCCGTCAAGTAAAGTGTTACCAAACATATTACGTTGGTATGTCAGGTTTTATTATGTGTGTTTATTATCAGTCAGAAAATACAGAGCCTTCTAGGGTCCAACAATTTTAATGTATGTACATGTACAAGTTCCTCAACAACATATTTATCTACCGATCTTGCAACTGCTGATCCTGGCGTTCGCACGGTACACTGGAAAACATTACTCACTATCATGCAGAAAAACCTTTTGACATCTACAAATGCCATCAAAACATATACCATGAAAACAACACCGTAAGTTAACGATACGTCTATGGTATGTCAGCGATGTGGCATTTTCACCAGGACTCCTGTTTCCGTATTAAATTTTTTGTCCTCAAAACATGATTCAGATCTTTAACGGTTCTTATATATGGAAAATACAGAGTGTATCTGCATTCAAATGTTTTCCAAACGCTTGCATATGCAGCGGATAACGCAAGCAGAAATGTAATGTGATATAACTTTAACACTGATATAACCAAATATCGGAAAATAAACGTATAGGCTACACTTAGGCTATAGGTAATACGCTTTGCATACCGACAGAAAAACTTAAGAAAAATCATGTAAAAGTCACTTTATTTCTTGCCATTGAAATCAAGCGAGATTCTGAGATAAGATGCATGTCTTCAAACCTTTTTCCGTGTTTAGTGTAGCGATCATGCTTGTGAGGGGGTCCCTGCCGGCTCCTGCCCGGTTAATGGCGATGTGACTGCCGGCTCGCTTAGGAAGTCGGATCGGCAGCTGTGTCACTTCCACGTACGTCACACCGCGGCGGCTTTTTATTGAAACCGCTTTACTAAGCGCAATCTACCCATTTTTAATTTACTATTTTATTATTATTATTAATTAGCTTTCGAAGTAACAATAATATATGCGACTTCCGTGAACTACGACGTGCTATTTGTTTTACTATTAAGTAAGACTTTAAGTTACGGACACTTTAGGGTTTAGTATCTGTAAATAAAGGACGCTCTCCCATCAACTCAGGACCGTCACCTTTATTCCAAGTGCTAAAAGCTCGGGATAAAACATATAAGAGCGGGATCTATAAACTCACCCCTCCGCTATGGCTGTGAGCTCCCGCCGCTGTCCGCGGGCCACCGTGAGCTACGCTAAGACTGCGCTGCTGCCCCCGGCGAGTCGGCTTTACCCGGCGGGGAGTGTTCGGGGCGGGGTCCCTGCCAGGGGCCCTGCAGGTGATCCATCAGACAAGGTGAAAAACAAGGCTCTAGGCTGTAAAGGGGCGGTGATTAGACCATGCGCTTTAAAAATCATTATGACTATTGCGTCGTTTAGAGCCCCTCTTATCATGTAATCTGAAGGCATATTTACATGTAATTTATTTATCTGACGCTTTTATTCAAAGCGACTAACAATAGAGGGAAGAGTAATTTATTTGAGCGCAATGGCATCTAAATATTAGACAGCAACAACAACAACAATAATAATAATAATAGATACTTTCAATAGATAGATAGTATTCTTTTTTATCTAAAATACTATTGAAGTTTGCGTAGCAGACAACTTGACTTTTTTTTCCCTTTCTTTTACAAGGAGACGAGGAATTCATTTGTTTGCAAATGGGGGATGGTGTGTGTTTGCGGAGGGGAAAGTCCCGGCACTATAATGTGTTTTGACACCTGCAGACAGCTTGTGAGAGCAACAAAGGATCGAGGAGTGACGTAAGGCGTATGAGAGAAGTCACGCTTAGCTGAGCCCTTTGAGCGGCTCACCGCAGGGGGCAGTCAAAGTGCCCCCCCCCCCCGCCCCCGCATACCGATGGCAGGCCAGAGCCCATCCCACAGCCGGCTTATCTACCCGGGACCGGTAGTCAGCCATAAACCATCGATACTCCAGCACTCGACACGTATCCACTTTCGGCTTCGCGTTCATGGGAAATAATTGCAATCCCCAATCCCTAGCACGCATGGGGTTCAGCGGGTTACCCACGCCTCTCGGCGAAGGGACGAACGAGCTTCCCAGCCGAGTGCAGATACGTTCACAGCGGTTAGGGGCGGAATCCGTATTTAACCACAATTAATTCTGACTAATAATACACAGCATATATTTATATACACACAACAATCGGGGTTAGGGAAACTCCTTGATACTAGGCCTATATATAGTTTGGGCAGTAAGTTATCTTACGTTAAAAAATCCAAAAGGGAATTTTAGCTCAGACATTTAATAACTAGGCTAAATGAACGTTGATATTTATTTACACGTATAGCCCCGTATCGGATACCTACTTATGGATAGATTTGTTTGGAGGAAAGCGTGTTTATATCCTATTAAGTAGTTCTGTGGCCTGTACTACGAAGCGGGGTTACTGGCTTATCGGGGTAACTTGTCCGATTTAAGGTACCACAGCTTAAATGGACTTCATATTCGCTCACTTACATTTTGCCCAGACTACCTTAAATCCAACAAGTTACCCCGATAAACCAGTAACCCCGCTTCGTAGTACAGGCCACTGTAAAGTGAAAGCGCATATAATCTCCTTGATTGCAGTCTTATTGTATTGATCACTGAATGCCTTTTTTGGACGCAGTGAAAAGGCTACAAATTCTTCTGGACTGATTTTCATCCAGGTAACACACGTGCGTGCAGTGTTAGCAGCCACGAAGAAGCACCATAATGCTTATCTAATAATAATGAAGCTTATATGATACTAAACACTGTATGTAGATGTTATGCGTATCACTAGCACTAAGTATCAAAAATGAAAAGACAACATGAAAAAATATAACGATTTGCTGACTCATGCGGGGATAATTAGCGTCGTCCTATAAACTGCAGAACCACAACTATTTTAAAGACCGTTTTTTTTTAAATTAGACGTAACGTAATAGATTTATACTGTATTTAAGTTAATAAAAATATGTCAATGCATGTTTTATGTATTTATGGCGTAAACTGCACAAGACAAAAATCCAATTAATAGGCCTGTATCTATAGAAAATAAAATCCGTGTAAAAGTGGACTCGCGCTGTCCAAACACGTGTTGGTCAAGGGTCGAATGTATTTAATTTATTGCATATGGCTATCAGTAGCATTAAAACTTTAACATACATTTATTCACGAGGACCAGTTGCGCACGAGGCTTATTCGCAAAATCTCTTCCACCTTAAAAAATAGAACGTGTGTTAATCTGCCACATTCACGGCAATTTATCTTGTCAGTGTCAAAATGTATGTTCTAATGCCGTACGTGTGATACAACAGCCATTACCCTTACTATATATATCCAGAATTTAAAGATATTTTACTGTAGAATTTTTTAAACAACGCCCTCTGAAAAAGGTAGTTTTTCCCCATTAAGACCCATTGAAAAACAATGCTTAACATGCCGGATTCACACCAATTTATCTTGTCAATGTCAAAACACGTCTATTCGAAAGCTAAATACCCTCTGTTACACCAACTATTACCCTTACTATATCCAGATGTTGAAAATATTTTAAAATATAAAAAAATATATGCCCTCAGAAACTGGTATTTTTTCACGCATGTCACGCATTGTTTTTCAGTGGGTCTTAACGGGAAAATGACAATCTCAGATGGCATTATATTTTATAAGATTACATCGATGAAACGAAATAGGTCTGAATGCTAGAGAACAAAATAGATTGCAAAGCTGCAGAAAGTGGTATATCTGGAGAGATATGCGTCTGTACTGCGTGTGTTGCTCTTGGAGATAATATTGTGACGCCCAGAGGACCCAGACTCTAGAGGGGCTTGCAAGAAATGAGGCAGCATCTTCAAAACACCGTGCTGTCCATTATCAGCCCTTAATTAAAAGGCTTCACACAACGACAGTGACTACACTGCCCCGCACACAAATAACCCCAGGACTCAAAAGACAGGCATGCACGGAGAGATCCCATTACAAACTACATTATATGTTTCACACATGGTAAGGAGTTACACATTGCATTGAAACGCGAGGATGAGGTAAGCATTGCACGCAAACACAGGTAAGATCTCACGCGACAATCGGGTGCATGGCACAGCTGTTTACAATGACAGCGGACAAGAGCTATTTACACTTGCGCGGAATGGAAATTTGGATTGAAAATGCATTTCAGATATTTAGATAAGTTGGGTGGAACATTATAATACAGCCCTCAGAAGGTCGCAGCATTCTTTGTGGCATGTTGTGTGTTGCATGACATTGCTATGATGGATGTCCGTTTGATATAAATGATGACACTTTAGAGGACTTTATAAGGCGTGATGCTGAACTGCACGTGCCGATGCCAACAGAGGAGCGTATGCCGGTGTTCTGTCATAACATCCTACCTTTCTGCGCATGTGCAGTTCCGCCGTTTTGGGATTAGGGTTAGGTTTTAGGAGTTAGGGTTAGGGTTAAGGTATGGGTTTTATGGGTTTTTGGGGGGTTAGGGTTAGGGTAAGAGTTAGGGTTAGGGCTATCGATTAGCACTACGGTAGGATGTTTTGATAAAGTAGGGCGTTTTGTCAGAACACCGGCAGCAGCGCGGGCAAGGAGGGTCAGCTAGCAGAAGAGCTGAATCATCTATAGCCTGGTAAGGAATCTAAATTGTGAGATGTAGAAAAATAACAGTCCTATTGCCTTTTATTTGAACATTTTTAAATACTTAAAAATTGTAGGTTGTGTTTAGTTTGAACTAAGTTTGCACTTTTATTTATATTTTGTGAACTGCAGACCCAAAATAAAAATAAAAAACACACCAGCATATCCCAAGCAAGTCCCCGTTTCCAGTCGCTGTGCTCGTTCAGCATTGAGCTTCTGTTTTCCCCGCCTTCTGGCATCATCATACCGCTTTCGGGACTGTGATCTGGTGATGCTAGAAAATGAGGACACACTCGTTGCTACCTCATCCCACGCCTGCTTCACCTCGATGGGCTTAGCTGTAATATAGTGGTGCTCCTGTAGACGATATTCTCGTACATTTTCACCTCGCGCACGAGCGCGTACTGTTTCCTGGCTTGCTGGGCAAACACGCCAATGTAATAGCAATCCGCTTTAGATTATGTGCGGCTGCCTTTTAAGTTGAGGTTATGCACCATTCAGATTGGTTCATTGCATATTACGCCCAAAACACACCTATATAATAATTAAGAGAGTTAGGACAACTTTTTTTGCGCACAAAGTCTGTTTTTTCCATAGTTAAAATAGCTAAATGGATTTGGACACGCCCATAAATGTTAGTCGCGCTTTTGCGCTTCACGCTTTGCGTTAGATATGCAAGTTCTTCAGAGAGGAAGCCTTTGCGTACATTCTGAACATTATTACCAAAGAAAATTGCACCTGAACCTGGTACCACCCACTAAATATACTGCTGAGATTTGATGTATGGTAGACATGCTCAAGGGCTGTGAACTAGTTCAGAAGACTAAGAGAACATGAATTGCAGACACACTTTGACTCAGTCAGTGTTTAACGTAAAAACATAGTAGTAGTAAGTAAGAAGATGTTAGGCTGTTTGCAATTCCCCAATAATTCCGATTCAGGCTAATCACAGCTATGCTCTAACTGAGAGTAAATCCTTGAGCCCAGTGTGGGGTTTGAAGGAATCCCTCTATTTAATTTACAATTAACTTTCAACTCAGTGCTGGGTGCCCCACATGTGACTACAGCTAGTTTAGTTCAGTTCCCAAAACTCTCATCTGGGGCCCGTCAGCCATTCCATGTATTCATTAAAATTCACCAGTTAATTAATTAACTTAATTAGATAAATAATCATGGTTGCTGAAAGTACTGGGGTAGATGTTT